ACCGGGTCGGAAGGCAGGGATCTCGCCGAGGGGAACACGAGCCGGTAGGTTTTAGGGGGGGACCCTGCGGGGCGGTGGGTCCGGCGGGTCCCACTCGCTCTTTTTGTTCTGTTTCGGCTGGTTCGCTTTTAGTTTTCTTGTATTTCTTTCTTTTTAAAGTTCTTTTAGCACCTTTAGACTTTGTTGCTTCAGCAGAGGAGGAGGGAGGGGCGGTTCACAAGTGCCCGGGGACCGAAATCTCCCACCCAGAGACCTTCCCCTGTTGACACACGGTGTGCAAATACAGCGTTGCTCGGGGTGATGCTCCGTGTTGTTTCTAAATAACAGCGACCGGCTGGGGAATGTTGAAACGCTGGAAGCAGAAACGCCGGCAGACCCTGACAGCCTTCACTTCACCCCCGCTGCGTGGAGATCCAGTCAGTGCTCAGGGAGTTGTTTAAATAGAGCAGCAGAACTGAAGTGATAACCAAACCGGGATTGAAACGGTTTTAAGGGCAGGGCTGGGGAAGGAGCAGGAGCCGCTCAGCACAGCGGGGTTCCTTGCACATCAGAGGGGCAGTTTACCCGGGCACAGGGAAGTGAGGCGTCCCGTGCCTTTCTGGGTTGAGGGTTCTGAAACCTCTGGAGTTACTGGAAGGTTTGAAGCAGGGTTGGGGGTTTAGGAAGGGCTGGTATGTCTGTGGAAGCACAGCAGAGGTGCTCGTGATTGTGGAGTCGGAACCGGCTGGCAAATACACCAACTGCTTTGAAGTGTGATGGTTTTTTAAATACAAAGGGAAACTGGAGAGGTACAACTTTGTTCCTGGCACTGCACTTTCCCAGGGGAACACAAAAACCTTATAAACGAGCGTTGCAAATTAAGGAAGACTCGGTGAGGAGTTTCCCAGAACGAACTGACAGCAGGAAGAACCGACTGCCGAATGGTGTTTGTTTTCTGGGAATGCGTGAGAAGTGACTGTGCTTGGAATGCGTTTGTCCAGGAAGTGATCCCGCGTGTGCCCCGCTCCGAGCCCTGGGGCTGCGTGCCAGGAGAGGGAACAGGGTTTCATTAAACGCAATGAAATATTCCTGATGAAAAGGCACAGAGCTTGCTCGCTGCTGGCTGTGAGACGCAGGATTTAGTTGTGCTTTAAAGAGGAAAAAAAATAACATATTTTCCACCTTGCAAACGAGCTGGGTTTTGCTCTGAGTGACCCGCAGCTCTTTGTTTCCCTCGCTGCCCGGTTGGAATCGCTGTTCCCAGCCCCAGAGCTCGGGGTGTCCCGGCTGGGGGGGCCCCATGGACCGGGCTGGCGCTGTCAGGTGCTCGGCAGGGGGAACAGGTGTTCAGCAGCTTCAGCTCCTGCCCCTGTAAAGCCGAGATGAAATCCCGGCCCCTGCAGAAGGGCAGGATGAAGTTGGGTCCTGGTTTGAAGAGAAGTGTGCGGGGGTGCCCGGGGGGAGCTGGATGTGTGCGGGATGGGGGTGTGAGCGGGATGGGGATGATGTGTGCGGGATGGGGATGATGTGTGCGGGATGGGG